AACAGAAAAAAACCCATCACACAATTTTAAATTGATGGGAGAAAGGACAAGCCGCCTGTAAAACGTTAACATCATCTACTTATACGACCAACAACAGACTTTTGCCAAACAGCAGGACGAAATTGGTATCATGTTAAAATGTTTAGTTTCCATATGGGCCATGATAAAAATGAAACGATCAAAATGAATAATGGGGCATGCACAATGGGCTTGACATAATAGCACTCCTTTATATATATATATATATATATATTTATTCTTTGCCAAAATTAGGAAGGGATAGAGGTTTATTCACACATACTGTCAAAGCGTGTCATGGGGTTCGAACCCGAAAAAAAAAATTACAAAACTCAGATTACGAATAAGTGATGGTCGTTTGGTTATGAACTTAACTATGATGTTATCACCAGCCAACGTGACTGTTTTTACAATCAATTAATGTTTTGGCATTTGAGTTCTTATTTGAGATATCAAATTAAACACTGACGAAACAAACCCTGCAATGCATAACTCCAAGCACTTGGATGATGAATTTTCATTCTTCTCCTGCCTAGTCTTCAAGACTTGGTGGCAGCCAAGGTGTTCCCAACATCGATTACAAATCGGTATCTAACATCGTTCTTAGCAAGACGCTCCATCGCTGTATTCACATACTCCATTGAAATTACCTCAATCTCTGCCGTTATGTTGTGTTTTGCGGCGAAATCAATCATCTCTTGTGTCTCCTTCATGCCTCCAATTCCACTACCCGCCAACACCTTCCTTCCTATATTCACATTTTGATTTTAGGTTCTAGAGTGTCTAGATCAAAATAATTGAGAAGATACACACATACATATGTGCTTACCCACGATTAAAGGAAACACAGGGAGCTCAAGTGGCTTTTCTGGTGCACCTACTAGAATAAGCTTCCCATGAGACTTCAAAAGACCAATCAATGGCACAATGGGATGCACAGCAGACACTGTGTCAATGATGCCATCCAATGTGCCCATGGCAGCCTGCAATTGAAAAACCCAATATATAGGATTAGGCATATAAATTTATGCACATACTATATTCCTAAATCCTCTAATTAAATACATTAATGAAAATTAATCCGATCTCTCAAACTTAAAAGCAGGAAGAACAACAATGGGAAACATATCATAGACTAGCTAGAAAATTTAACCTGCATTTGGTCCTGGTCGCTGCTAACCAAGAATGAATGAGCACCAAGTTGATTCAAAGCTTCATCTTTCTTGCTAGGGGAAGTACTAATCACAGTCACTTTTGCCCCAAGTGCCTTTGCAAATTTGACTCCCACATGCCCCAGCCCACCAAGCCCTACAATGCCAACATGCTTACCTGGCTCTGCCAAGCCAAAATATTTCAAGGGACTATAAACTGTGATCCCAGCACAGAGTAGAGGAGCACCAGCATCCAGTGGCATGTTCTCAGGGAAACGCACGATGTAGCGCTCGTTGGCGACCATCGAATCTGAGTAGCCTCCATATGTGAGTGTTCCATCGGTGTAAACTGAACTGTAGGTAAGTATTAATTTGGGGCAGTAGTTTTCAAGGTCGTTGTTGCAGTTGTCGCAGGCATGGCAAGCACCAACCATACAACCCACACCAACTTTATCTCCCGCTTTCACTTTCTTCACTTTGCTTCCCACTTCTGTCACTTCCCCAACAATCTCGTGCCTGCAAATTAGGCAATTTAAATTCCAATAGGGTATGGTAATACTCGCACTGCATTGAAAAAACGAAACTACAAATGGATCTCACTGCAAAATAAAGAGTAATTATGGTGGGAGATTAACGTCGTCAAGTCATAATATTTGTCCATAGATTCCCGGAGACTATATGATTTTTTTTCTTCATGTACTGCATATATCTCTACAAAAGTAGGAATTGCTAATTCTGATCACCTCTACTTTTCTGACTAAAATTATACAAAAGTATCCAAATGCCCAACTACTTAGAAAAAGTGGGTGTAGCTAAACGATCCTATTACAAAGAAAAAGGTGTTAAAATTCACTCTCAATCTTGTCGTTTCCACTAAGCCAAATATTGGTACTGGTTCAAATGTATATATTCCTGTTCAGCATCTCCTGGGATGAGGCGAAAGGGTAGTCAAACTTTATTTGCCTTGTCAAATTAGCAATTTCATGCTCAAAGGAAATAGACAAAATATACACTTTCTCCAACAAGGTAATGCTTCATACTTCAACAAGGTAATGACAGTTGGGCCTACCCATATTAACTTACTGAAAATTAAATTATTATTATTTTAGATAGAGGAGAAGAAAAATAGATATTAGGGATGAACACAGAAGAAAAATAAAAGAAAATTCAAAAGGAGGATAATAAAAAGTAGTTTGATGGTTTATACGTACCCCGGAACCATAGGGTACACAGAGAAGCCCCAGTCATTCTTGACGCTGTGAAGGTCGGAGTGGCATATCCCACAATACAACACCTTAAACCTCACATCCTCGTCGCCTGTTGCTCTGTGTATAT